CTCACTAGAAGGTATTACCATAACTTGATTTCTTATACAATTTCATTATAATTGAACCGGTTACACTATCACCTCATAATAAGAGACCCAAATAAATTCAAATGTTGCTCTAAATATGTGTTAAATGAAAATTACATGAATTATTATTTAAAAAGGCAGGGGATTTAATGCAACTATCCACTGCAGCGTTCCACAAACATATAAGGTCATCAATGTACCAAAAATAAATATCAAACAATTTGATGGGGGCCTACCTTCTTCAGAGACGTGGGTGGACTCCCACTAACCCATAAAAAGATTGGCATAGGAGTGTAACACGTTTTGGACATCTCTAACATGCACAGCAAGGGCAGCTCACTATAGAAATTGAGGTAGTTTCTCACAGATGTTTTCATTAAATAATTAGATTTCAATATATAAATACTATTTTTTCTTAGCAGGCAGACAATTAATTTAGCATAATCACTTATTTTGGTTTTAGAATGTAGGCATTTTTTTTCCAATGCTTTTATGAAATAATGATCGTGTCTCTTAATGTCAGGACCTGCTCTCCTCTGTTCTGATGTCTGACTTGGCTTCTGGTATCCAGTACTGTTTTTACAATTCTTGTTTAGTTTTTCTGGTTTTCTATTCTATGTCTGGTTTTCTTTATGCTGGGTTTCTGAGTTCATTCCTATTTTCCGTCCCTGGATTTCCCGGTCTCTTGGTTTCATTTAAATGTTTGTTTTATGTTGCCACACCCGTTTGTTTCCATTTTCCTTTTGTCTCAGCCTGGACCTGCAGCACTCTTTCAAGTCTCTGCCCTTTCTTGCAGGTAAGTGCTATTGTGGTTTAGTATGGTTCTTTTAGCGAACATTAGGCAGTGTAGGACCTGCCGAATATGGGGTACAATGGCGTTGTGGCAGGCAATGTATGATCATATAATGTAACTAAATCCCCATACCTTTCATATATAGTGATTAGTTATGTCTCCTATTGTTTTGCCTATTATATCTTGTCTTGTTTTATTTTGTAATCCCATTCCATGTACAGTCCCGTCCTGTCCTGCCCCTGTTTAGTTAATGTTCCCTTATGTATTGTGTACATGTTATGGGTTTAGCTTCCTAGCCTTCTCTGGTTCTGGGTTCTATAAGTTCTGTCTTGTTTTCATGTTTGGTGACTATCCTAGCCTTGCCTTGTTTCTGTACTGGATACATTCTTGCTGGAGAGCCTCCCTATTCAGCTCCTGGGAGGTCTGCTTAATTCCAAGCTCCCAGTTCCTGGAATCCGCTGTAGCTGCATCAGGGTTCTGGTATGCACCAGACCCTGCACCAGACCCTGATAATCCACTTCTATGCTGAAGACTCCTAACTTCTCATCAGGCACTCAGGGGTCCTGGTTTCCGTACTGCCACCCGTGACACTTAAATATCATAAAGATCACATTCTTCAGTTTTAATTTTCATTGACACTTCAATTTTGCCTATTAGATACATGCTTATATGTTACATATTGTTAAGTATGTACTTTATCCGTGTATGGTTTTTTTAGCCATGGTCATTCTATTTGATACAGTATGCATATGTAATAATTTATATTTTTCTACTTTTTTTTTTTTTTTACAATGTCTGACTTATCCTGATTTAAATAGACAATTTAAGCTCCGAAATCACCTTCATTTAGTTATTTAGTAATTGAATTGTTTTGACATGCAGCATAAGTTTGTAAATCAGGCATCTCAAGCTCTACCCCCCTCTCTTAGATATTGATGAACTACAACTACCTTTAGTGTCTGGCCATTTATTACATTCAATGTATTCTGGGAGTTGTATGCCATCAGTATCTGGGGGACAGAGTTTGAGAACCCTGATGTAAACTATACTGATGCAAGATGATGTGTGTGTCCTGTGCTTCTCTGTGAGAAACATTGGATTTCTTATAGAGAAGCCTAGACTGGTGGACCAGGTGGTGGTTGTGCATGTCTCATGTGTCCTTAATGCTTGTCTATGAGAAGCATTTGAGAAGCAAGGCGTGATGACTTCAATGAAGGGGGATCTGGCTATAGGAGGACAATAAATCTAAAATAATAAAGTAATGTAATTCTTTTAATTTCTTAATGTAATTAGAGGTTTCCTTTGAGGAATATGCTTTTCCTTCTGATTATAGGCTTTTTTGTGTCTAACACTTTAATATTAACATATGGTGTACATGTGTCACAACAACAATGTTAAAAGGAACTCTCTAGGCACCACCAACACCATTACATTTAATGTAGTAGTTTTGATACATAGACCCTGTCCCTGCAGTCTGACAAAAAAAATACATTGCCGTCTTAAGACTTTTTTAATTTTACCTATGTGGTTTTATAAAGCACAGGTCATGTCAAACTAACTTGATTGCATTCTATGAAGAAGTAAATAGAATTTTGAAGCTTCAGAGGGATTTAGATAGACTGGGGGACTGGGCACTCAAATTACAGATGAAATCTAATGTAGAAAAATGCAAAGTTATGCATTTGGGCATAAAGAATACCCAAGCAACTTATACCCTTAATGGAAGCAGATTAGAGACTACAACACACGAGAAGGACTTGGGAATTGTTATAGACCACAAACTATGCAATAATGTGCAATGTTAATCAGCAGTGGCTAAGGCCAGTAAGCTATTGTCATGCATGAAAGAGGGCATTAATTCTCAGGATGAGAATATCAATTTGCCTCTTTTATAAATCACAGGTAAGACCACATCTTAAATATGCTGTGGAATTTTGGGCACTTGTTCTAAAGAAGGATATTATGGCACTAGAAAGAGTGCAGAGGCGGGCTACAAGATTATTAAAAGGAATGGAACACTTTAGCTATGAAGAAAGGTTAACAAATGTAAACCTCTTCAGTTTAGAAAAATGTCACTTCAGGCGGGTATGATAACATTATACAAATATATTCGGGGCCAATACCAACCATTGTGTGGAAATCTATTCACAAACCGGACTTTACATAGGACTTTTACCACAACAAGAGGACATAGTCTTAAATTAGAGGGACAAAGGTTTAAAAATAATATCAGGAAGTATTACTTTACTGAGAGGGTAGTGGATGCATGGAATAGCCTTCCAGCTGAAGTGGTAGAGGTTAACACAGTAAAGGAGTTTAAGCATGCGTGGGATAGGCATAAGGCTATCCTAACTATAAGATAAGACTAGGGACTAATGAAAGTATTTAGAAAATTGGGCAGACTAGATGGGCCGAATGGTTCTTATCTGCCGTCACATTCTATGTTTCTTTGTTTCTATGACTCGAGGTCATGCGTTTAGACAGGAAAAGGAAGATTTCGTATAAGGCAAAGGAAATGTTTGTTTCTTTAACCATAAGAACAATAAGGATGTGGAATTCTCTGCCTGAAGGAGTGGTTTTATTAGAGTCTGTACAGATGTTCAAACAGCAACTCGATGCATTCAAGAATATTCAAGGATATAATTTTTCAACCGCAGGGTAATAGCTTCTTGATTAGAGTTGAGGGAACCCGGACTGTAAAGTTCAGGTTCGTACCGAGCATTACGTTTATTTGGACCCTGGACCCGAACACGGACATATCACTGTATGTTCGGGTTGGAGTTCGGTGTTCGGCAATTTAATGGCACGTTTTCAAAGGCTGCAGGGCAGCCAGTCAACAAGCGTTTGACTCGTGTGCCCTTAGAAGCCATCACAGCCATGCCTACTAATGGCATGGCTGTGATTGGCCAGTGCCTCTATATATAAGCTGGAGTCGCGTAGCACCGCACGCACATGAGGTCTTATTAGTGTAGGGGGAGGATGCTGCCGCTGTGAGGGACAGCTTAGGAAAGAATTCTGCAAACTAGTACATTAGTGGGGTGCACTTCATATCTGAGAGTCAAATAGAAGCGTCAAATACTGCTGTCACATTGCAGTTTTAAAACTTACAATTTTTGGGGTGCTAAACTGCTAAATAGTATTTTAGTGGGGTTCATTTCATATCTGAGAGTCAAATAGAAGCGTCAAATAGTGCGCTTACAGCGCAGTTGTAAACATTCGAATTGTTTTGCTGCTAATCTGCTAAATAGTACATTTTGGGGCCTGCTCTTCATATCTGAGAGTCAAATTTAAGCGTAACTTTGATTCGAATTTACTACATCGGTCACTTGTAATATTGTTTCACACCTACAACACTTGTTACACAGATCTAAGTGACCGAAAACAGATTGATATTTTCTACACTAGAAACTACCAGAACTATATTTAAACCAGTTATCAATAGCTAAGAGGTACTTAAACAATATTGTAATTCTGGGGCAATACCCTCACAAGTCAATCTGAGAGGTCAGTTTATAGGGAAAACTGTTGCCTGGATACAATTCTAAAACAATTTCCATATGTCCTTTGCAGACTTTATATGCTGGAAAAACACAGGTGCCAACTGCTGTGGCTTTCTGCAGTGTGTATTCCGGCAAGGAGGGCAGGCTTGAGGTGTGGGTGGAAGATGATGAGGTCCAAGACCCCACATGGAATCAAGGTCATGCGAGTGACGTGTGCAGATTGGAGGAAGAGGTGCTGGTCGCACAGAGGCACCAGCACAGCATAAGAGGGAGCAGGGTGCAAAAGCGGAGTGGCCGTCCCCTAGTGCTCCTCAGCATGTATTATCTTTAGAATCCCACAGTTATCCAAGTAAGAGTTGAAGCGATAAAAAGAACCATAGCAGATTTAACTAGCCTTTTGCAGTTTTGCAGTCTGGTGACCAGGACCCAGACACTGTCTGGGCTGCGGTCGGACGACCGGGACCCAGTACGCCTTATTTAGAAGTTAGTAGTCACAGTGTGGAATGGATTAGCAGGGTCTGGTGCAGGGTAACCGCACGCCCCCTGGTGTTGAGCACCAGTGTTTGTGCGGCCACATACCAGGACACTGATGCAGCTTCAGTAAAAAGAGTACTGGACACCAGACTGATCCGCAACTTGGAACAGGATGTGACATTCACTGTAGCGGCTGTGTGCGCTTTCGGCGTTCTCACGATAGTGGAGTTGCAGCTGCAGCACGCACGGGTCAGTGGCTCTGCACCAGACTTCCCTCCAATTGATCAGAGTTAAAGGATTTCAAGTGGACTCATTACAATTACAGGGCCTCTAAACAGTCCTGTATTGTTATTTGTCGTCACTACCTTGGTCATATGCGTGCCTACTTCCTTACCTGCATGTGGTAGCCGTTTCTCAGGGTCCCTGTACGGAATCGAACCCTGATTCCCCGTTACCCATGGTCACCACAGTAGGCGCAGTCAAAGGCATCGAAAGTTGATATGGATTAACATACGAATGCGTCGTCACCTTCTCGTTGGGGAGCACATTGAAAAAGTGCTCTAGCATGACTAGCTGGATGATCTCCTCCAGGAACTTGGCTTGATAGGAGTTGAGCCAGTTCTGGGTGGCCCTTGTGATGCCTTGGTGTATACCTAGATATATCAAAACTGCTGCAGAAAGTGCAGGCCGTCTGTGCGAGCTTTTGGCGTTGTCACCCTGCTGCTGTTCGCCTGTCTGTGCTGCAGTGTAACGTCGGCTTCCGGCTTACCGCCTCATGAGACTGTGCGAGCAGCAGCAGGCGAGGCGAGTCACTGTGTCAGTCACTGTGCAGAAGTTTTCTTTTTTTGTATGTCCCAATATTTTGGGGGCTACCACAATTAAAAAAAAAAAAAATAAATAAAAAAAAAATAAAAAAAAAAATATATATATATATATATATATATATATATATATATATATATATATATATATATATATAAAAATCAATAAAGGGAGCACACCAGGACTTCAGTAAAGTGCAAAAAGTATTTACTGTATCCAAAACATGATACAAATTCTGTGTAGAGAGAATCAACGTTTCGACCCTACCGGGGTCTTTATCAAGATCACAGTGAAATGTGGTTATGGTGAATAATATATACATACAAATAAAGTGTCGCTTACCAATCAGATAGTCGAGACCCCGATCAGCTACAGACACCGGAAGTGAGAAGACCACGTGAACAGTGCATATCATGTGACTGGGTTACTGAGTAATCTGCGTGATAATGCTACAAACAGAAGATCGGGTAGCCGGCACCGCCGTGATACCCGGAAGTGCTCCAGACCACGTGGGGGTGGTCATGTGACAGAGAGTCATGTGACAAGGTTGCTAAGCAACCAGTCTAACAATGTCTAATTCTTCCTTCTCTAACCGGAGATCGAAGAAGCAGATAGCGAGTACTACATATGGAGGACAGAATCAAGTAAAAACCCCACTATAAGGATGATCTATAGGTGACAAAAAGTGCAAAGTGCAGAGGATCATATGCATGTGCAAAACAGTGAGGAGAATATATATAAACTACAAAGCAGATCAATCCCAGGTGGGGAATAGAAAGTCACTATTACATATACAGAATTCTAAATATATACATATATACATCAACAGTGCATTATACTGTGTTATAGTCTACCCAATAGTAAAACAATATATCTCTTATAAGTTTACTGATGTTTGGTCTATTGAAGTCCAAGCAGGAGCATAAAATATACTACACACACTGTGTGTGTATAAAGTCAGGACTCTGAGTCCTAAGTGTATATTACTGAGCTCTACTTCCTATTTGTCAGACGGCACTGACCAAATCTTATCTACCTTTACTTTCCATGGTGAATCTATTGTTGAATATATGCAACAAATGGATAAAAAAGTATACTCAAAAAAAGTATACAAAAGAATAAATATGTACAGGGAAAATCCAGATTCTACAGAAAAACTACGTATTGTGTTGCTACCCTAGATATGTGAACAAGAGTGGGCATCAACAATATATATTGTATCATGTTAAAGGAACATCGAGAGAACTAAATGTTCATTAAGTCCCTTCGGGGTTACGGTATTTAAGTGATGTATCCAGTAGGCTTCACGTTGGAGTAGCAACTTAGATCTATCACCTCCTCTAGGTGGTATCGGTACATGGTCAATGGCTATGAATCTGAGAGTAGGCAGATGGTGTTGTGCTGATAAAAAATGTTTCGCCACCGGTTTATCCGTTTTTTGATCTCTGTAGGCTGTGTTGATTCCCGAGCGATGTCCCCTAATCCGATCTCTTAAAGTCATGTCGGTCTTCCCAACGTAGGCTAAGCCACACGGACAAGTAATCATGTACACTACATATGTTGTCATACATGAAATATAATGCTTGATGGGGATGCGTTTACCACTGTGCGGATGTACAAATGTGGTTCCAGTGAGCATATGGCCACATGTAACGCAGCCGCTACATTTGTAGCAGCCTTTCTTTTGGATTTTTGGCATCTTGGCATAGCATACTCGAGGATCATTCTTAACCAATAGATCTCTCAGGTTCCGATTTCTTTTATAACTGATGATAGGATTGACTTTAAATTTGTCAGAAAGATTTTGGTCCACCTGGAACATATTCCAATGTTTACGAATGCATCTTTTGAGGAAGGGAGTTGCAGTGTTGAATGTGATAGGGAGGAAGATATTATTCTTCTTCATAGGGCTTATATTATTACTTTGATTGTATTTCTTCCAAGCATTCATCATAGCTTTTTCCAGGACTCGTGGATGAAAGCCCCTTGTCAGGAAGCGATCCCAAGCTTCCTGGAGCTGCTGATCGCAGTTAACTGGATTACTATTATACCTCATAACCCGGAGGAATTGTGAGATAGGTAGTGAGTCCTTGACATGCTGAGGATGGAAGCTAGTAGCAGTCAACAGTGTATTCCGATCTGTTGTTTTTCGAAATAAAGTAAACCCTAATTGATTTTCAGTTTTAAATATCTTCACATCCAAGAATTCAATGCTGTGCTCATTCCAATTCAGTGTTAACCTAACTGGTATGGGTAAAGTGTTGATCTGCTGAACCATCTCTTGAAGTGTGGATACAGTGCCTTCCCAGATCACAAAAATATCGTCCACAAATCTAGCATATTTAAGTATATATGGCTGATATTGCTGTAAAATGTACTTAGCTTCAAACCAGTACATAAAGCCATTGGCATAGGCTGGTGCCATGGCTGCGCCCATGGCAGTACCTGAGGTTTGAAGGTAGAAGCCATCTTCAAATTTAAAATAATTACATGATAGTGCAATATCCAGCCATTCCATCAGATAAGAGATATATGGACCACTATACGTGTCATCATTAGATAGAATCTCGGCGATAGCTTCAATTCCTTCTTTTTTCGGAATTATTGTGTAAAGACTTTGGACATCCATCGTAGCCAAGATGATCTCTTTGTTTGTAAGATCAATATCTTGTATCTGACTGATAAAGTGTTGTGTGTCTTTCAGACAAGTTGGAAGTTTTCTCACGCTGTTATTGATATAATAATCAATAAATTGAGCAATCGGCTCAATTAACCCACCTTTGGCTGATACAATTGGACGGCCAGGTGGATGCACCAAGTCCTTGTGGATCTTTGGTACTGTGTACATGACCGGATGTTTTGGGTATTTAACGAACAAAAATTTAGCAGTCCTTTCATCAAGGTAACGATGTAGCAGACCTTCACCTATAAGTTTTTCAATCTTTTTTTGGAATTTTGCAACGGGATCAAAGGTAAGTCTTGAGTAAGTAGCTGTATCCTGTAATTGTCGCAGGATTTCTCCCCTATAGTCCTCATAGGTTTGTATCACTATAGCTCCGCCTTTATCGGCAGGCCTAATGATGATAGTAGGATCCTGGATTAAATCCTTCAATGCTGCATGTTCTCCCTTGGTTAGGTTATCCCTGTAATGTGGTGGAGTAGTTACCATAGGGTCGATCTCGTGCCTTATAACCTGCATGAAAGTCCTAATCGAGTGACTAGGTGTGTAGATGTCTTTCTTATACCGATTAGGAAAAGTATGTATCGTGGTGATTTGAGCCTTTACTAGAAGGATTTTTGGGTGGAGTGCCTTGCCCATTCATTTTTTGTATATATATATATATATATATATATATATATATATATATATATATATTCCACGTACACACCAATGGTCACCGCCTCCTCAACCTATGGATCACTTAATATAAACTATGTATACTATAGCAGAGGCTTGTGAAGGCCTTTTCTCCATGCATCAGGACTACAAGAAATGCACCGCAGGCCGCAAATGTTTATTTTTTCTATATGTCCCAATATTTTGGGGGCTACCCCAATAATAAAAAAAAAAATAATAAAGTGTTGGCTACCTCCTCCTACACCGGCGATTCCACCTACACCGCCACAGTCATCGCCTCCTCAACCCATTGGTCACTTAGTATAAACGATGTACACAATAGCAGAGACTTGTGAAGGCCTTTTCTCCATGCATCAGGAGTTGAGCTCAGTTTGAACAATGAAAGAGAATACCCTGCACTCCAACCCTCTCTCAAATGGATAATTCTGGTGATCCTTCTGACAGCCATGCTTTAGATTTTGATTTATGCTCTTCCAAAGCTAAAATCAAAGATTCCATCTAGTGCTATTTTATGGCTCAGCTGTATTTTAAATTTTTATGTTATTTTAAGTGATTTCTCTGGATACATTCTTTCACTTTTTAATACATGGTTGCAAATCCTTTGCAGTCAATTACAGCCTGAAGTCTGGAACGCATAGACATCACCAGATGCTGGGTTTCATCCCTGGTGATGCTCTGCCAGGCCTCTACTGCAACTGTCTTCAGTTCCTGCTTGTTCTTGGGGCATTTTCCCTTCAGTTTTGTCTTCATCAAGTGAAATGCATGCTCAATCGGATTCAGGTCAGGTGATTGACTTGGCCATTGCATAACATTCCACTTCTTTCCCTTAAAAAACTCTTTGGTTGCTTTTGCAGTATGCTTCGGGTCATTGTCCATCTGCACTGTGAAGCGCCGTCCAATGAGTTCTGAAGCATTTGGCTGAATATGAGCAGGTAATATTGCCTGAAACACTTCAGAATTCATCCTGCTGCTTTTGTCAGCAGTCACCTCATCAATACAAGAGAACCAGTTCCATTGGCAGCCATACATGTCCACACCATGGCACTAACACCTCCATGCTTCGCTGATGAGGTGGTATGCTTTGGATTGATCAGTTCCTTTCCTTCTCCATACTCTTCTCTTCCCACCACTCTGGTACAAGTTGATCTTGGTCTCATCTGTCCATAGGATGTTGTTCCAGAACTGTGAAGGCTTTTTTAGATGTTGTTTGGCAAACTCTAATCTGGCCTTCCTGTTTTTGAGGCTCACCGATGGTTTACATCTTGTGGTGAACCCTCTGTATTCACTCTGGTGAAGTCTTCTCTTGATTGTTGACTTTGACACACATAAACCTACCTCCTGGAGAGTGTTCTTGATCTGGCCAACTGTTGCGAAGGGTGTTTTCTTCACCAGGGAAAGAATTCTTCAGTCATCCACCA